CCTGCCGTGGTCCCGGGTGACACGCTGGGGCGCGGGTGCCGTCCCTCTGCCGTCACCTCGCAGCCTCTTGCTGGGTCTCCTCTCCCCGTGGTCCCGGGCGTTGCTGCAGTTGCCGGGCCCCGGCGGCACGTCCTGCCCGTGGTAAAGGGGGTCCGCTCTCCCGTTCGCGTTCGTGCGCGGCTGGCGCGCCAGGCTCCTGCAGGGGGATCCGAGATGCTTTTCTCTTTCCTGGCTCACCCTCCTGGTGCCTCGGCGGGCGGGCGGGAGAGGCAGCGCCACAGGTCCCTTCCTGTGCGCTGTTCCCTGTTGCCTGCGACGCCAAGCCTCTTTGCAGCCAAGGGACGTTGCTATAAAACCATGAGAGGCGGCTGGGGCTCTGGGAGCTGCCCCTGATCGAGGGGATGGCATCCCTGGCGGGGTTGGCTTTGCGTAGGGCAGGGACACAATGCCTGGTGACACCATCTGGCTGTGGTGTCCCCGCACGGCCTGGCCGGGCCAGGCAGGCCCCATAGTGCTGAGGGTGCTGGCAGGAGGGCCCCGGGGCAGCTCCAACTCCTGCTTGCGTTTGCTGTGTGTGGGCTGGGGGCTGTGCCCAAATCCACTCCTGTCCAGCTTCTTCACTCTCTCTCTTGACTCTTGAAGGTGCCTTGGCTGCTGGATCCAGTTAGCAATAGTCTGGCCTTGTTGGCTGCCTCTGCCCTGAGGCTCAGGGACCCTGCATGACTGACCAGGCTTCCCTTCCCACCCCGCTCCAGGCTTTGGGAGAACTTAGTGCATGGCTGGTGATGGGGGATTCTGTGCGGTGGCCGTGTGGGTCTAACTCGGAGACCATAGGGGAAAGTGGCAGAGCCCCGTCCCTCTCTGGGGCCCGACGGTCTCCGAGGGGACTCTGCAGGTCTGCCGCCGCTCCAGGACTAGGGGGGCCAACTCAACGGCTGATGCTATTGCAGTAACTGCCCCCTCTGCCCCTGGGGAGGCGCGTGGGGCTCTTGTGGGAGCAACGCTGGCAGCTGAGGAGACCAAAGCAGCTGCCACCAAGAGACCCGAGGTGGCAGGCGAAGGGTCCCCGGCTGAGGCTGCTCCAGAGCTTTCAGGTAGGTCCAAAGCGATGGCAGGAGCCAGGAGGTCGTCTCTGGGGGTGTTGGATGAGCTGGCGACTGGTCCCGAGGGCCCTGTGCTGGCTGGGGAGCTGTACCGCCCTACCTGGGTAACCACTGTCCCTCAGCGCCCAAGCCTCCAGCGGGCACCACACCCACAACTCCTCTCCCTCACCTGTGCGGCACAGTGCGGGGCGTCGTGGCACTAGCAGTAGCTGTTCAGAGGGTGAGGCGCAGTGCTGTGTGACCTGCTGACGTGTCCTCCCTGGTCTTGGGCGTCATCCTGGTCCCTAGCACTGCTGCTTGCAAGCCTGGGCGTGTGGCCGCCCCCGCTCAGCCCAGCTAAGCCACCTCAGCAGCTTGGCATGTGCCTGAGGGTGGCACCAAGCTGCAAGGACTGGGCCCTGTTAGCACAAGTGCAGTCCTTGGAACTGGCCCCGGAGGGTCAGGGTAGCCTGCAGCATGCCAGGCCTTGGGGCCTCTGTTGCCTGCAGCACCCTGTCACGTGGACCCAGCCTTGGCAGGGCATGGGCTGCAGCAGCTCATGGGCATCCTGATGTCCTGGCACTCAGATGCTGCGATGGGTCACGGAGGCTTTCCCCGGTACTCGTCTCAGTCCTGTCTCCCTCAGCGGCGGGGGGGCCATCGGTGACCTGGGTGTGCTGGTAGCTCTCGCCTTTCTTCCCCGTTTTTCCTGACCGCGCTGACTTGTCTTCTTTCCACTCCAGCTGCTCCTCCCGTCTCTCCAGCTCCCACGTCTGCTCCTCCCCCGGCGCTGGCCCCACCTCCATCTTGCGCTGCCCCCCCTGACTCTGCCCCTGCCCCACTGGGCCCTCCCAGTGCCCCTGCTAGCCTGGTCCTGGGACCAGGGCAGCCCAACCCACCCTGCCCCGTGGCCCCAGATCTGCCTCCTCCTGCCACCCTTCCTTGCCCTGTGACCCCAGCTCTGGCCCCTCCTGCCCCCTCTCCCTGCCCTGTAGCCACAGCTCTGGCCTCTCTCTGCCCGGTGGCCCCAGCTCTCGCTCCTTCCTCCCCTATGGCCTTGACTCTGGCCTCTCCTGCCTCCCCTCCCTGTCCCATGGTCCCATCTCTGGCCCCTCCTGCCTCCCCTCCCCTCCCCATGCCCACAGCTCCAGCCCCTCCTGCTGCCCCTCCCTGCCCTGTGGCCTTGGCCCCGGCCCCTCCTGCCTCCCATCCCCTCCCCATGGCCACAGCTCCAGTCCCTCCTGCTGCCCCTCTCTGCCCCGTGGCCCTGGCTCTGGCCTCTCCTGCCCCCCCCCTTTCCCCTCCTGTGGTCCCAGCTATGGTGGCACCTGACTTATCATGTCCCATGAAGCTCCCAGCTCCAGCGGCTGGCATGGCCGTGGCAATAGCCAGCCCCTCTGCCCCAGCCCAGGTCCCTGGGGCCCCAGCTGCTTCTGCGGCTCCAGGCTCTCAGCCTGTGGCCCCGGCTCTGGCCTCTCCTGCCCCCCCCCCAAGCCCCACCGGCGGCAAGGCCCGTGCCAATAGCCAGCCCCTCTGCCCCAGCCCAGGTCCCTGGGGCCCCAGCTGCTTCTGCGGCTCCAGGCTCTCAGCCTGTGGCCCCGGCTCTGGCCTCTCCTGCCCCCCCCCCCTCCCCTCCCGCGG